CATTTCTCCCTGCTCAAGAGTACCTGGGGGGGGGGAGTTAGGACAGGGAGAGAGAGAGAGAGAGAGAGAGAGAGAGAGAGAGAGAGAGAGAGAGAGAAGAGAACAGAGAGGTATGTTCAGGGCAAACAGCTGCCTGCCCGAAGCTCTTTCTTCCCTTCTGTGTGAAACAGGTTTTGTGGCTGAGAACTGTGGGGACTGAAATTAAACAAATTCTAAGCCTGAAGCATTCCAAACCCAAGCCCAGGACAATGGTAAGCCCGCTGAAAGGAGAGGCCACAGGGGCAGGCCGCAGGGTGCGGCCCAGGTGTGTGAATAAAGCCAAGGAACGTTCCCACCTGGTTCTCTTCTCCTGACTAAGGGGACATACTTATCAGGCTTCTTAAAAAAAAAAACAAAGATAAATAGAAAGAGCAAAAAAGAAAAAGAGGGTGTGGGGTGTTTGCTCAGGGTTGTTTGTATTTCCTGGGATACTACAGAACCTTCTAGAGGAACAGAGGTGGGCGGTCACCCTCAGCCACTGGAGCACATACTGCCCTTAAAAAAAAAAAAAAAAAAAAAAAAAAAAAAAAAAAAAAAAAACAGAATCAATTCTTTATAAAAAAAAAAATGAAGTCTTTTACAGCACACATTTGCCTTTTCACGTGGCAAGAAAAATGCAGTGGAAGCAGAGATGAGGTTGCCTCCCATGTCTGCGGTCCCCTCCCCTCCATCCTCAGCCCCATAATTCCTCCTTTATCACACGTCTACCCCTCTCCCTTTCCTCTCTCTGACCACAATCCACAGCTCACAGCTCTTGGGCTGCTCTGTCATTAGTCACCTTCCAGACAGGTCCCGCAGACTCCCCATGTCAAAGTCAGGGAATTCCCCCTCAAGATCACTTTGTTAGGAAGCAAGGCAGAGAATGAGAATGAAAACTAAATTAATCAGGGTTCACATTGCCCCCCACCCTCTGTGGGTGCAAGACCTCAGCCAAATCGCCTTCATAGCCTGTGTTCTGCGTGTTGAGTAATTAACCAAAGGGTTTGTATGCAGGCTTTTGTTACTCTTGGCTGATAAAGCATCATATCAAGGGGGGTCCATTTTCCTCAGCTCAGCCCAAGTCACTTTGGCAAGTTTAATCGGGTCTAACAGTTTTGCTATTTACTGCTGGAATGTGTGTGTCTTAAGGGCACCCTGGGAGTTGAGTTTAGTGGCTAGCAGATTGACTTACAGCTCGGAGCCAGGTGGAGGCAGAGGCTGGGGAAAATGCACGTGAGGAAATGTTGCAGAGTTGCCTCTGTGGTGAGAGCCTTTCCCCACAGGCCCGGACTGTGGGGCTTCTCTCCACAATGTGCAAAAGGGACTGTTTGAATGTGGAGATTTAAAGCATTTCCAAGCAGCAGAGGGATGTGTCTACTTGGGGCTGGGATTCACAGTCCTGAGCTCTGTGATTTACCAGTTCTATGGCCTCACTGCATTATCTTCCTCTGCAAATGAAGTTAGTGAACCCTACCTTGGCTGGGGGGGGGTGCGGGGGTGTCCTGGGACAATGGGGTCATCTAAGGATGTAGCACATTCCCAGGTATCTATCCGTACACCTCTATCCAAATCCCTCTTGCTTGTTTTCCATAAAGGAGACACTTTAAACTCCACAGAGTCAGGGACTTCAGAGGTGAGTGTGACCCTGATCTTCAGAAGATGGTGTCATAGTTGATAAAGCTTGCTCACAGATTTCCCTCACCCTATTCTTCCAAAAGTTTTAGGGAAAGATCACAATCCCCATTTGGATGAGGAAATCCTGAGCAGCAGCAAAGCAGGACACCATAAGGAGGATATAACCTCCATGTCAGTGGAGGTGACAATGGTGATGACATCAGTGGTAGCCATAGCAACCACAGCTGATATCCAGAGGGATGTCTGGAGCACCACTCTCCCTCATTTTAGTGTCCACATCTCATTTCAATGACCAATATCCATTTTCAAAGTAATGGATGTTCCAATTTTTTTCCACTGGAATAAAATGGGCTTGGGTAGGCCAGTCAGAGTCTACAAGCTACAAGAAATCAGATCTTCGTTTAAAGGTTTCATTTACACTGAAAACAAGGGAAGACACCATGTTTTTTTGATAGAAAACCCTAATGCTGTGAAGATGGCAGTCCTGTTCAGGGAAATAGAGACTCAAAGGAGTCTTAATCCAAACCTGACCGTCTGTTTCGCTGCATTTGATGAGCTGGCTCTGAAAGTCGAAATCTGAAAGGTCAAGAAGGCCCTGGTGATCTCAGTGGAGCAGTAGAGGGTTGAAGCTTATGCCCTGCTGTCTATCAAGACCCATTAGGCAGCCGTGCTAATGAAAGAGCTCGACTGTGATGGGCAGACCAGTCCAGAGCATGTGCTTTCGGACTGCTGAAAACTGGCACGCTGCCCAGCCGGGTGGAAAGGGCAGCCCTTTCAAACATGGCGCTGAGTCAAACCAATGAAGCTGTGTTTTGCGTGATCCTTGGTTGCTTTTTGTTTTCAGTGGTGGGGGTGGATTCCAGGCCTCACATTGGCCAGGCAAGTGCAGTACCACTGACTTAAACCTCTAGCCTTCCATGTTTTATTGACTTCATTCTCTCTCTCTCTCTCTCTCTCTCTCTCTCTCTCTCTCTCTCTCTCTCTCTCTCTCTCTCTCCTTCCCTCCCTCCCTCCCTCCCTCTTCCTCTCCCCCCTTCTTCTTCTTGTCTGTCTGTCTGTACCATGGTACACATGCAGAGGCCAGAGGACAGCATTAGAGAATTGGTTCTCTCCTTCCATCATGGGGGTGGATCCTGGGGACTGATCACGTTTGACAAACAGCACCTTTACCTGCTGAACCATCTCATTGGCCCCATATCTTAACACAGTGAAAGCAAACAGCTGGTTCTTGTACACAGCAGTACACAGGTTATGGCACAGATGTAGTATTGAACAAAAATGGTTAAAGCCATTCATTCAATTTAAAAATAATTTTTAAAAAATTTAAAGTTTTCTTTTAAAAAAAATTCTGAAATCCTTGTCAATGTTATTAGAAGTTTGGGATTGTGGGAGGAAAACTGGGCAAAACTGAAGCAGGACTCTGGGGTGGGTGTGAATCTTTGTTTCTTGGGTCTCAACACTGATTGTTGAGCATGCTCAGTCTACCGAAGCTCTATTATGAATATTGTGTATTTGTAAATATCTATGTGCCTAGTGTCCATCAATAAAAAGAAGCAAGAATCATAAATAATGCTCTGACTTTATGTGGACTTTTTTGTTGCCTCTGGTGACTCGAGTGCCTTGTGATGGAGACTCCTGGCCATCCTGCTCTCATTGGCTCTCTCCTCTGCTATCTCTAGACTCTGCCTTTGGATAGCTCCAGTTCTCAGGTCCTAGCAAGTGTGGTATAAGGGGATTGAGCTCCTGCACATGGACCTGGGTCTGAGGCCAGTCTTAGCTTCTGGAGACATTTTCAGCCCCTAACATGTCAGGCTTTAGGCCAGAGACCAGAAGAAATTTCAACACACCTGAAACCCCCAGGAGAGCCCTGGGAGTCTAAATGTTGATGGAGGAAGCAGACATGGCTGGTCAGAGCTTTACTACTGTGTCTAGGGAGCGATCTTCTCATTGCCCTTTGAAGTCCACGCTAGCTTCTCACCTAAGACATCGGCCTCCAGCTACCCCTGCTCAGCTTCCATCTCCACTGACTTTTCCATGAGAGTTAAGTAAGTTTGCTATAGCCCATGAGGTGAGTGGCTCCTCTGAGTTGGATGTACACACAATTACTGTGCAGCTCCACTGTCCATCCAAACCCTAACTCTACTGTCTTAGTTAGGGCTTCTATTGCTGGGAAGAGACACCATGACCACGGCAACTCTTATAAAGGAAAACATTTAATTGGGGCTGGCTTACATACAGTTTCAGAGGCTGTGCCCATTGTCGTCATGGCAGGAAGAATGGTGGCATGCAGGCAGACGTGGTGCTGGAGGAGGAGCTGAGGGTCCTACATCTGGATCCACAGGCATCTGAGACCTCAAAGCCCACCCCCTAGTGACACACTTCCTCCAACAAAACCACACCTACTCTGATAAGGTCGAATCTCCTAATAGTGCCACTCCCTGTGGACCAAATATGAGTCTATGTGGGGCATTCCTGTTCAAACCACCATACCTACCTCATGGGAAAGGAGTCAAAGCTTGGAGACTTCAGTCCCTTGTTCAAGATTAAGCACACAGTCACTAGGAGAGGCTGTAATGAATGGAGGTGACCATTAAGCCAGGTGGCAGAAAGCAGAGCCATTGTGGCCACTCCAGAAAAGAACATCCTTGCACTCATTACTACAGATGACTGACTCACTGGGCAGCTGAAGGGAAAGACTGTAGGTGAACCCCAGGCACATCTCTGTCACCACCGATGCCACCGGGAAGCTGTGAGCATCACTGCTCCCTGCAGATCCACCTCTTGCTCGCTTTCCACTGAAGTCAACAGTGAATGAGAGTCTTCGGTGGAGCTTCTGATTGGCACATGCTAAATCACACCCAGAATCTGAGCTGTAAGAAGATCTGGGAAGCAGCGTGATTTTTGGCACTCAGCCCTTAGTAGAGCAAAAGTCATATTTAACAGAGTTGGAGATTGAGTGAAGTCAGCCAGGGAGCCAGGAGCAGATACCTATGTCCAGCATTAAATTGCAAGTTTATGTGTATGTGAGTGTTGGGGGCAGATGCAAATGGTATGTCTATGTATGTAGTGTTATTTATTTGTGGAGGTCTATGGTGTATGTCCGTGTGGTGAAGCTGTGTGAAACTATGGGTGTGTATTGTCTGCCTTTTTTTCCTTGTGTAGGGGCTGAAGAGGTTAGAAATCCTTCTCCACCCACTTCTGACATCATGTATGTAATCTTATTCAGAGGTATTTTTGGCCAGCTAACTTCATGACCACAGTGAACGAATTTAAATTTACACAAAACACACACCCCTCTTTGTGGTTCAAAGGTAGTTGTATCATTTTCCTTACTCACAGAATGCCCATTGGAGTGTGTGTGGGGATCCCTTTTACCCCACAGTAGGCTCACAGCACAGAGCTGGCTAAGAAGGTTTATAAGCAGAAGTTTACTAGGTTAATAATCTGAAAGGGACAAACATCTGGCTTTTCCTCCCCTTTTTCATTTTCTTCTTAATGTATGTGGATATCCTGTCTGCACACTATTTGTGTGCCTGGTACCCACAGAGGTCAGGAGAGGGTTCCGAACCCCTAGTACTGGAGTTACAGACATCTGTGAGCTGCCACATGGTGCTGGGAATCAAACCCTGGTCCTCTGGAAGAGCAGCCAGTGTTCTTAACCTCTGAGCCATCTCTCCAGCCCCTCCTTTTGTTTCTCACACTTTGTTTTCCTTTCTTCCATTCTGGAAAGGTTACCATGCTTACAAGAGATGGAACACGCATTTGGTGACCTTGGGACAAGACAGTCAGAAAGGATGCTGTGGGAGCCAGGTCTCTAACAACATATTGCAGGTGACCAAGATGTCCTCAACCACACAACCGAGAGCTTATGCCAGAAAGGGGCTGGAAAGATGGCACAACAGTCGGGAGCATGTCCTTCTCATGCAAAGGATATGAGCCCTACAAGGGTCTTACTTGGTCTCTGCCCATATTGACCCAACCTCTGGTCCAGAATTTCAGAATCAAAGAGGAGATGGATCTACCAGGCCATCATCTATTCTACCACATAGTTTGTAAATATTCAGTTGTGTGTATGTGTGTCTGTCTGTCTGCTCTACAGTTAGAGTTTGATCCCCATGACGGTGGGAATTAAATGCACATTAAGATGTTTTAAATATAGAAGACATCGCTAAGCAAATAAACTCACACATCCTTTGACATTTCCAGAATATTTGTTTTTGGAAGTTCATGATAATATTAACATTTGGAAGAATGTAGGAAGTAAAAGACATCCATCTTGGTGGGAAGATTAAGTCTTTTATTCTAAAATTTATTTGGCAAAACTTGGTTTATCTGTAGCTGGGAGGCAGTTGACCTGAAATGCAGTGGATTTGAACAGTCATTGCCTTGTTTGATTTGGACTCTGTGGGGCTGGGGCTTCTGCTCCCTGTGGGTGGGCCACGCTGATCACCAGCTCTGTGCAACAGGGATCCGGGCAGAGCTGGAGGCCTGGGGTCGATACAGGGTTCTGCTTGCTCACTGCCTGCTTGGGCTTCTTTATGGTACAGTTGCATCAGGAATGAGGGCTTCTTAAGTGGCAGCTGACTTCCTGGAAGAAGAGCTCAACGTGACAAAACCCAGCTGGGGAGTATTCAGGTGCCGTCTTGGACGTCACAGAGAATCAACTCTTCTACGTTCTCTGGGCTTAGAGGGCCATGGGTGCTGTCCAGATTTGAGAGGAGGATGGAGACTTTGCATATTGGTGCAGATGTGACAAGGCACACTGGTAAAAGGACATATGGGCTCATGGTTGGTTGGTGGGTTGGTACTGCTGTCCTCCTCTATTCTATGTCTCTACCGGGGAAGTTTCCCTATAAGCAATGTTATTGAGTAATTTTCTATACAAGGAGAATTAATGGTTGTGGTGGTTTGAATGAAAAGGCCGCCATAGGCTCATTAGCAGTGGCACTATTAGGAGGTGTGGCCTTGTTGGAAGAAGTGTGTCATTGGGGAGCAGGCTTTGAGGTCTCAGAAACTAAAGCCAGACCCAGTGTCTCTCCCTCTTCCTGCTGCCTGCTGATCCCAATGTAGAACTCTCAGCTCCTTCTCCAGCACCATGTCTGCCTGTGTGTCATCATGCTTCCTGCCATGGACTAAACCTCTGAACTGTAAG